CACCCAGCAGGCCACCTTGTCATCGCCGACCTTGAAGTAGAGCGCCGTGTTGAGCTGACGGCGCCGACCAGCACATCGTTGAGAGCCTTGTACCATAGCAGTGGCGACTGCTTGAGCCCGTAGAGGCCTTTCAAAAGCTTACACATCCGGCCGATTCCATCGTTAAACTAGTCCGGCTGGTACATGTAAAGCACGCAGTCGAGCTTGCTCTGCAGGAAGGCATTCTTCATATTGAGCTGCATCAGGTTAAGGCTGAGGATGGCGATGATGTTGAGGAAGATCCTCAGCATGACGTAGCTGCTCACCGGCGCGTACGTCTTGTCGTGGTCGGCGCCATACAAATGCTTGAAGCCCTTCACGACCAGCCTCGCCTTCTCGCGCTCGACGATGTCGTCGATGTGGTACTTCGTCGTCAGCACCCACCGGTTTTTCATGACGTTCACCCCCGGGTGGGCATTCGACCAGCTCCCAGGTTCCCATGCCAATGAGGCTGCGGATCTCTTCTTCCATGGCGGCCTTCACCGCCTTGCCCTTCTAGCTTGCCAGCACACCCTTCACCGTCATCGTTGAGATACCCCAATGGTGTTCGAGGTCAGCGTGCATGTCCGGGTTGAGCTCCGGCAATTCGTCATCCTCCTCGGCGTCGCCGTACAACGTGTCGTCATCGATCACATCGTGTACCGTGGCAAAGGCGACCGGGACGAAGAAGTCGGGTGGCCGTCGAAGCCGACCTGTACGTTGTGGTCCAGGCTGGACTTCCACCACGTCGTTGTCGGTGGACTCCTCGGCGTCCCCTCCATCGTCACTGGCGTCGCTGGCCCCAGAGTTGTGCTGCATCACAGTCGGCATCCCTGCTGACCTATCCATCGCCGACTGCTCCTTGGTCGGCTTCACTGCTGCCTGCTCCTCTGTCGGCTGCTGCCCTGCTGCTGCCCCCAGCACTGACTTCACCTCTTCGGCCTGCTCCTCCCCTGCCGGCGTCGACTTCACTTTCACGCCGACTTGCTGGATGCCGCGTCGGCCATCGACGATGCTCTTGGCCGGCACCACAGACGATGCCCCACTTCTCCCATCATCGCTGGCTGCCGACACTGAAGCCGGCCCACGCAGATCAGACTTGATCAAAGTCGGCGCGAAGAGGAGGACTGTCAAAGTCAGCCCAAGTAAGAGAAGGAGGTGGAGGAGAGGGGGAAGCCCTGGAGGAGGGATAGAACGGGTGAGACTCATCAAAGAACACGTCCCAGCTGCGGTAGAGTTTGTTGGTGGAAGGTTGGAGGAAGAAATAGTCTTGCAATTCTGAGTTGTGCCCGAGGTACACACACGTGATTGTTTTGGGAGCGAGTTAGCTGCCAGCTGCATGACGGGCTTGGGAGTTGAGGGGTACATAGGAAGTACACCCCCATATACGCAGAGGGTGGACGGACGGCTTTTGACCCATCCACAGCTCTGTGGGGGTGGTGTGGGTATGGTGAGGATGAGGATGAAGATTGTGGAGGGCGGCGGCATGGAGCATGGCGTGTCCCCAAAGAGACACAGGGGCAGAGGCGTGAGTGAGGAGGCAACGAGCAATCTGCACCAAGATGCGGTTCCGGCTCTCAGCAACACCATTCTGGTTTTGGACTGTCTGGCAGAGCAAAAGGCTTTGAGAGTGTTGTTGCGGAATTCACCGCCACCGTCAGAGAGAAGAACCTTGATGGTAGTTTTGAAGTGTTTATGAGCCTGCTGGGCCCATTCCATGATGACGGCCGGGGCTTCTGAGTTGGAGGTGAGAAGTTGGACGGACACATATCGGGAATAGTCATCAATGATGACAAAGAAGCAGAAGTGTCTCCCATGAGAATGAACAGGAGCTGGACCCCAAAGGTCCATGTGCACGCGATCGAGAGGCGCGGTTGAGATGGACTCGGTGAGGGATGGGGCTGTTTACGAAGCTTGCTCTGTGCATAGTCAAGGAAAGGCGGCCCTAGGTTGGAGGTATGGGAGGAAAGTCAGGCCAGAAGTTTGTGAAGGAGTTGTTTTGTGGCAAGGTCTGAAAGTGCGCGGAAGTTGATGTGGCCGAGGCGGTGATGAAAGAGCATAGTTTTGTCAAAAAGGAGATGACAGTGACAGATGGAGGAGTCTGAGGAAGGGAGCGGAAGGTTGGTGAGCGAGCATGTTTGAATGGGAGGTACAACGAGGGTGTACAGGTTGTTGGAGTTGAGGGTGAAATGGGTAAGATGGATGTGGGTTTTGGTGTCAAAGATGTCACCGTAGTCAACATCGTTAGGAAAGATTGTGATCACTCCTGCATGTTGGATTTCACGCTGTGTAAGGAGTTTGTAGCAAAGAGTTGGGGCACAGATACCAGTGACTGTGCTGGATAGGAAGGCTGGACAAGGAACTGTGGAGGACCCATGGCATTCGATGGCAAAACTGGAATTGGCTTCAATGAGTGGGGTGGGAGCCTGGTAGGGAACGAATGCGGTTTGGTATTCGAGGACTGTGTGGGTGTCACCACCGTCTAGTATGAACTCTCACGCGTGTGTATCTAAAACACCGATGTACTGCGACTCCTTCTCATTAATAATACCAGCATCAGAGAACAACAGATTGAGGCGAACATCAGATGGGTTGCTAGCAACTGTGGGAAATAGGCTCCTCCACTGCCTCGACCTGGTTCACAGGACGTGGTGGGGCCCAGTTGGGAAGACGCTTGTTGGGGGAGACACCGTGGACATCATACCACTTCTCATCTCGCTTCTTAAAACAAGTTGCCTAAGGGTGGTTGGTGCCTCCGCATTTCTGCCCTGCACATGGACCCTTCGAATGATGGAGGGGCATGGGGGAAAGGAGTTGTGCCTCGGTCCCTGCTGGGAGCAGAATGGGATACCAGGGCTGTAGCGCACAACATTGACGGATGCTTCGGCTGCAATGTTTTTTTCAGGAGAAAGAAAAGCCGATGCGACTTTCTCAAATGTGAGTTCCTTGGTGGGGACTGGTAACATTGTATTCCAAAATAAGACCTACAAGTAGCCCAGCTGCAGGTGCTTGTTCAGGGAAGATGATCCCAATGTCCTTAATTTCCTCATGGATGTTGCGTGTTTTCAAAGATGTAGTCCGCCATACCCGGACATTCCTCAAGGCGGACCTGGAACATGCGGGGAATGAGGATTGTAACTCCCACTGCGGTCTTGTCATGGAAACGGTCCTGGAGGTACTTCCAGATGTCATGCGCGGAGCGAAAGGTGCGGTAGGATTTGACAAGTTCAGCTGGAGCAGTGGTGATGAAAACCCTAATAACTACCGCATCTGCGTGCTCCCACACACTAAAGTCGGTCTCATACTTGATAGTGTTAGCTTCAACTGCAGTCTTCTCTGCAACAGTGGCTCGGGAGAGGCATCTTTCCCTTGCCGCGGTTGAGAAGGATGTCCTTGAGGCAAATCCCCTCCAGCTTCGTGCTAAAGAGGTGCTTCTCCACTCCCAAAGTTGGTGCTCGTGCCATTGGGAGCGAGATTGAGAACGATGAGATTTCCGACGGGGGTGGAAGTTGAAGTCACCATTTCGCGCGGAGCGCAGCACTGAAGTCTCCGATTTGTAGCAGAGCGAAACGACGTACCTGGATTTAGGTCTGCTGCTCTGCTTCGCCAATGCCCCATGTTCTGCTTCGCCGCTGCCCCTTTTCCGCTTCTCTGCTGCGCTGCTGACCTGTTCTGCTGCGCCGCTGAAAACCTGTTATGCTGCGCCGCTGACCTGTTCTGCTGCGCCGCTGAAACCTGTTTTGCTGCGCTGCTGACCTGTTCTGCTGCGTCGCTGAAACCTGTTCTGTTGCGCCGCTGAAACCTGTTCTGCTGCACAGCTGAAACCTGTTCTGCTGCGCCGCTGAAACCTGTTAGAAGTTAAGAAATTGAGAAATCTGCTACGGAGATTTCAAATTCCAGAAGCTTACGATGAAGGAAGTTGAAGGCAGAATGTGTCGCTGTTGAAATCTGAAATGTACGATGAAGGAAGACGAATGCGCTCTTGACCGGCACGACGATGTGAAGTTTGAAAACGCTAAGCGTAGGAGCCCGGAGCCGAAATAGGCATAGCCTAGAGGATGAGAACCATTGGTACTCCAAGGATCGAATTCCGCATGAGCAGAATTTACTAGCTCGATACCATGATAGAATTGGAGCTGAACTGATTGATTAGTAGAAAAGGCACTAGCTGTTAAGTACAAACAAGGTTGGGTTGAGCAAATCTAGGGAAAGGATGGGATGGGAATCCTAGCAAATCTCCAATGGTGAGTTGGCAGATTTGCTGGGTTACGAGGAAATCCCAACCAGATAGGGATGGGATTACAATCTACACCCAACCTACAAATAACCTACAAGATATAGAATATAATACACAAAAGCCTATTTCTAACAAATGTTACATGGTCGACCGGGTCGACCACCCGACGCCCTGGTCGACGACCTCCTCCGTCGATCACCACTATGTCGAAGACCACCCTGGTCGACGGAGAGGTCCGTCGGCCAACACGATCTGCTGCTGCCGTCGAGCTCTCTCCTCGATGCCCCCCCCCCGAAGTCCCGCGCATAGGTCGACGATCACCTTCGTCGACCACACCCAAGGCAGGTCAAGAGATCCCTTCGTCAACCACGCCAGTCGAAATCTGCCGCCTGCTTCCCGTTGTCGGAGGTTTCGCAACAGTCTTTTGCAAATCGACCAACTCCGCCGACCTGTACGAGTCGACCTCTGCAGATGGTCGGCTACACCTCCCACATACCCGACCACAAAGTCGGCTTCGCCCAAGGGAGGGCGGGGCCAACATCCTATTCCCATCAACATGCTTATCAGAATGTCAAACCATTTTGGTCTGAAAAAATAGTCCCTGTTTCTGAGATTTGTTTTTAATGGGACACAAACAATTCCACAATGGATCCACTAAGAGAATATATTGTTTCAATATACATGGTTTACAACTTAAAGCGGGTGTTTGGATAAAAGTGAATCAGCGGAGAAGATTATGTCTATGTCAAGGTTCGCATTTCCCGGCCTTGATCTTCACTTGGTCCGGAATGCACACTCTGGTGGCTTTGACAAGCTTATCGATGCAATCGTAGCCGTTTGTCTTCCTGTAGCACCCTTTGATTCCACGGAAGTACTTGACCTGCAGGCCAGTGCAGCGGTCGCCAGTCCCAACCACGTATGCGCGAGTCTTGGGGCACACTCCTTGCATGAAGCTGAACGAGCTCCCTATGCACGCCTGCACTTGCCATTGGGTGTGTGTAGGGGGGGAGAGGGAGGGGAAAGAGGGGGAGGGGAGCAAGGCACGGAGTTAGTCAGGTAGGTCGGATGGTAGGTAGGTAGGAAGATAGATAGGAAGGTAGGTAGGTAGGAAGATAGGTAGGAAGGTTGGTCCGTAGAAAGATAGGTAGGAAGGTAGGTAGGTAGGAAGGTAGGTAGGTAGGTAGCTAGGTAGGTAGGAATGTAGGTAGGTTAGTAGACAGGTAGGTAGATAAGTAGGTAGGTAGGTAGGTAGTTAGGTAGGTAAGTAGGCTAGAAGGTAGGTAGTTATGTAGGTAGGTAGGCAGGTCGGTAAGTAAATAGTTAAAAAGGTAAGTCAGAGATGCATGACGGTGGTGTGAAAGAGGGGAGGGAGGCTCAAGGAGGTGACTCGTGCATGCTGGGTGAGAGGCAACACAGACGATTCTAGTGGCCTGGAGGAAGGTGTCGAGGTGTAGAGGGAAGGGGTCGGGTGAGACCCAAGGAACAGCCATGCAGGGCAACAACTTGATGCTGTTAACCTACACCGATGGAAGCAGCATGCCTAGGTGTGAAGCTAGGTGGAAATCTAAGTGCTGAGCTACTAGAGTCTATAAGGACTGAAGAAAGTAGAGTTAGGAGGATAGAGGCAGGGAGGAGGGGGGAAATGGTGCAGGGTTGGTGAAGGGAAAGGAGGTGAGAGAGGATGAAGGAAGAGGGTGGGAAAGGGGAAGGGAGGGAGATGGGGGGGAAGAGGGTGGTGCAGGGGAAGGGCGCAAGGAACGAGCAGAGGGAGACCTCGAAGCCTGTGAGGCTGCGGACGTCAGTCTTGGGCACGAGGCGGCTGCACTTGATGCCGGGGTTGAGGCGGAAGAACTCGAGAGGGGAGAGCGGCGGGGAGGGCACGGAGCGGATCTGGTCGCACGTCTCCCCGGCCTTCACCAGATAGAACTGCGAGCACACCGGGATGAGCAGCGCCGCTGCACTCTCCGCCCGCCGCTCCACACACACCGCCTGGCTGCCCACCAGCTCCAAGCTGCCGGAGCAGTCCAGCCCAGGGTTGAGCGCCTGGAAGGCTGCTGCGCAGGGCTCGGAGGGATTGGGGCAGCCGATGGTGAGAGAGAAGTAGGAGGCTAGCGACTCACATGTGTCACCCTGGGAGGATGGGAGGAGTGGGGGCAGGGGTGAAGGAGAGGGGGAAGAATGGTTGAGGAGAGCGGAGGATGTGAAGCAGGGACGAAATATCAGGATAAGAGACAAGGGGAAGGGAACAGGTGGAAAGGCAGGGCAGGGTTGAGAGCTTGAAATGCTGTTTCAACAGAAGGGGGGTTGCCAGCGACTCAAAAGTGTTGCCCAGGTGGGAGGACGGTGGGAAGGGAGGAAAAGAGGAGAGCAAGGAGGGAGGGACAGGAACCAGGAAAAGGAGAAGGAGCGCAGCAGTGTGAGGGTTTGGGTAGGTACAGATATTGATGGAATGGTCCGGAGGAACAAGGAGGGGCAAAGATGAAATGAGGGGGAGAGGTTCAAGACACGGAAGGCTGCAGGCTACGGGCAGCAGCAGCAGGAGGGAGGCAGGGAGGAAGGGAGAGAGGGAAGGGAGGCAGATGGATGGAGGGAGGTGATAATGTGGGGAGGCTGACCTGGGATGTGGTGTAGTAGACAGAGCAGGGCGTGAGGTTGGCTGGCTGGACCACGTTCACCACCGTGTTGACAACGACAGGAGCGCTGCAGGTCAGACCCTGGAGAGATAGGGGTAGCAGAGTGCGGAGGAGAAGGTGAAGGAGTTCAAGGATGCAAGACGTGGTTGGTGGGTGGGGATGAGACGTGCAGAGTGTGGGCGGAGCCTTGTGGGAATGTAAAGAGGAGGATAAACAAGCAGCAGGAAAGCAAGGGCTCGCCTTGTCTGTACGTGTGAAGAGGGCTCACGGGGTTCTGTTGTTTCAGTTGGGCGAGAGTGAGGCCGTAGACGGGGTGGATGTCGGCACACGTGACACCCCACGACACCACCGTGTATGTGCTGCTGGAGTCGCCTGTGCAGTGCGGCACAGAGTGGTGCAGATGCAGTGATGCGGATGGAGTGGTGCGGCCGAAGGGGTTCAGGTGGGAATGGGTGCGGTTATTGATGTTAAGAGGATATGAATGTGATTGGGGAGGAATGGTTGTATAGATTTAAGGCAGAGTCGATGCATTAGGTAATGAGCTCAAGGCACTTCAAGCCTGCAGCCCAACTTGTTCAACCTTACTAAGGTAGAGCGCTGGGTGGCGGGTGAGCCGAACAAAAAAACCGAGGTGTTGGGAGGGTGGGCTGCTTGGTTTCGCCCAGCTTCTTGCTACAACCTCTGTTTTTTGTGCTCGCGTTTGGTTGCGAGAGTCCCATATTGCACAGAGATCAATTCTGAGGTTTCCCCTCTTCTCACGTTCCACAATCACAGCTTCCTGTATGCTGGCCAATCAGTTTCATTCGCACATTCCGTAACCACATTACATCAAAAACACTTTCAAAACAACACTCAGTAAAATAGATAAAGTTGACCCACACGTTACATACATCAGCAATGCGCAAGAATAACACAAGTTGAAAACAACTACAATTACATTGGTAAGGATGATGGGTTGTAGAGCCATCATTGCAATGTGTGATATGTTAGCCGTGTGCTTCATGGTACCATAGCTTGAGTAACTAGATGTCTCGAAAGAGAACAAAGGACCTGCATGCTAATGCCATAACATAAGTAAGAGAGGGGACGAGTGGATGTCATAGCGAGAGACATCTGGAGCGTAAGAGAGGAAGGCTACCTGGCCTGGAGCACCGGGGAAAGTTACCTGGTCCACAAGAGAAGGTGCCATCGACGGTGGTGCCCTGCCTGAATCCCGGAGGGCATACACACGAGTACGACCCCTTGCCATCATTCACACACGTGCCCACTGCACATGGATTGTGCACCGCTGCCCCGCATGCATCCTCTGGGAAATAAGACAAGAGATGAAAGACACTGTCGAGTATGCTTGGAGGCGACTGAGAGATGGTGGCTGATAGTCCCAGAAATGTGCTTTCTTGCTGATAACACCATTGCTGTGAGCATTTTCGTGGTCATCATGACTAGAGCACTGATGTTTGAGGTGCCTTCAAAATTACCGAATGGAGAGAGGAGAGATCTGTCACTTGAAGCAAGTAAAAGATCACGGTTGGAAATCGACTGCACCCTATTTGTTGGACTTAGCATTTCAGATTGCAACTTTCCAGTGATTTCGGTTTTGGTTGGGTTGGGTGTAGACTTTTCATGCCCAACCTATCCAGTCTTATCCAACCCTATCCACCCAAAATCTCCTTGATTTGGAGGGACCCTCAAAGGATTCCCTCCTGATTTCATCCTATCAACCCAACCTGTCATAATTCTTTGTACTTAACGCCTTGTACATTACGTTCTAGTTAATTGATTGTATTTTTTATTAACAAGCACTCATTGTAAGCATAGGGGGGAGCACTCACTGTAAGCACAGGTGCGAGAGTTGTCCTGTTGAAGTGCCTCAATGAATCGTGGGTCATTGCAGTCACAGTGGTTGCTGGCCCCATCGGGCGTGGGCGTGCACGTGAAGTTGCCACAGGGGTTGAAGAGCGGCCCAAACACCCCACTGGTGGTGCCGTTGACGTTGCAGGGGTCCTTGGCAGCGCGCACCACCGGGTAGATCCCAGGCAGCGTGTTGATCCCACACACGCCGTCGCCCCCCTGGATGTCCATCCGCATGTGCCCGCCGTCGCCCCACTTCGGGCCCCATGAGTTGCGGATGATCCAGAAGGGCGGCGCCATGTGCGGGAAGGTTGAGTCTAAGCCGGTGAGATGATATCCCACCAGCAGCACCACGTGGTTCAGGTTGTACGTGAAGCACTCTGGATCCGCGTACTTGGAAAGCTGGATAAGATTTGGGGGCGCATGGATATGGAATGATTTGGCAGGATTTCCACACAAAGAGCACTACGTGGTTGCAGATGTAGGAGAATCAGAAGTGATATGGGTGTGAGAGTACGCGTGTGCGTGTTTTTGTGGGAGTACAAGTGTGTGTGTGTGTGTGCGTGCGCGCACACACGCGCGTGCATGAGGGTACGTGCGTGTGTTCTGTGCAGGCGAAAAAATTACGGTTTCAATAATATACGGTCCAATGACTCATGCTGTTCTCTATGGTTGTTTTTTGGAAAAACAGCTGCCATCTAATGTTAGAGAATATTGGGCGCCTTATGAAAACATAAGAAGGGGTCAGAGATATTTCCAATAATGGCCACGAAGAAAAGCATGCAAGTAAGGGCTCCTTCTACCATCGATTTCACCATCACTTTGGTCCCATGAACTGTTGACCCCCATCACTAGAAACAAAAGCAGGTACGAAATAGCCGTCTTTATACCAAACGATACCCACCACCCGGAACTCTAATTAACAATTTCAAACAACCGTTATATATGGTGAATAACAATAAAAATAAGACGGCCACTTTCTTGCAACCTGATGGTGCGTACTGTGTGTGCGTGCGCATGCGTGTGTTGGTGTGTGTGTGCGTGTTTGTGTGTGTGTGTGTGTGTGTGTGTGTGTGTGTGTATGTGTGTGTGTGTGGGCGCGCGCGTGTGCGCGCGTATGTAGGTAAGTGAGTGAGTGGACTCACCCCATCGTGGTTAAGGAAGGAGGGGGCAGTGGCCTGCACATGCACCACCACGGGCTGTCGCTGCACGGCCAGCAGCAGCCCAAACCAGCCGTGGAACGCCGTGCGCTCAAACCCGTCTACTCTGAATGCCCCTCCCAATGGCTTGTCCTGCCATGGAGTCAGGAGTGTAAGGGTAAGGGAGAACGGTTAGGGCAGGACAAGGAAGGGGGAGTACCGCCATGCAATGTGGTCCGTGTTGTACTGGTGGAAAACAACTAATTGTACAGATTCCAAGCGGAAACAAGTAAAACTGTTGGTAGAATGGAATACCGTGTAAGGGAAGAACTCACTGATCCGGGGGTCTGACCTCAGCTGGACAAAAAATCACATTGGATTCCATATGACAAAAACAGGAATACAAGGAAAGAAAAGTAACCCACCGATCCATGGGCCTGGCCTCTGCCACATGAGATCCCAAGCACTTGTGCCAGCAGAGCAAAGACGGGCATGCCACAGAGCGGGCTCTGGCTGCTGCCCTTCTTGCCCCCCCTCCCTCTCACCACCGCCCCAGCCGGAAAATCCTCCATGAGCCCCAATTTTTTCTTGGCGTTGAGAGTGACGAGGTACTGGAAGGCCTGGGAGGGCGAGTTTCCCTGAGAGCATGAGGAGCCGAGGGCATCACGCAGCTGGGAGACAGAGAGGAGCGGCACAGCGGAGAGGTTGAAGAGAATGGTGTAGGCCACTTCCACGCTGCCCACCACCGCGTATGCCCAGCAGTCGCCTGATAAGAGTGAGGCAGGTAGTGGAAGAGGAGAGGTGTTGAAGAGGTGAGAAATTAATCAATTGAGCTTCCATACTGCACATGGCGGCGTATGCCCAGTAGTTAGCCGGGATAGGAAAAAGAGAGGGGAAAGGGGAAGATATGGAGTGGAAAGGTAGAAAATAAAGGGGATTATGGGAGGGGTAAGGGAGGACAGGCCAAAGAAGCCCTTTCCACACCACAAGAATTTGTACAGTGCCCGCCCTCTTATGCCCTCTCGCAATGTTTCCCCAATTGAAGAAAACTTATTCCATTCCATCCATCCCATCATGTCCCACTGCATCCCATCCCACTGCATCCCGTCCCACCAATCCCATCCCATCCCGTCTCCTCTCCTCCCCTCCCCTCCCCTCCCCTCCCCTCCCCTCCCCTCACCTCCCCTCCCCACCCCTCTCCTCCCCTCCCCTCCCCTCCCCTCCCCTCCTCAACCCCATTCCCTCACCGCAGGCGCCCTGGTTCTGGACGGGCCACGGAAGCCCCTGGTCGGCCCAGGAGAAAGCCTGGCTCACAACCCACACCTCCTCCTTATCCCCTCCACCACCCCCGCTTCCTCCTCCTCCTCCTGGCTGCATTGTTTGCATGCCCACACTGGCGTAGCGGAAAAAATAATTCGCCCCCACTGGTGACAGTGATGCCTCACTGAACCTGAACCCAAATTGTTGGCCTGGGATACCGTAGGGTAGCATAGAGTAGGGTGGGGGAAATGGCAGGGTAGGCAGGGGTAGCGTGGCATGGGAATGATAGAACAGATTAAGTGGGTGAAAGAACATAAGTGGGTGGACTCGGTGAGAGATTAAATAGAGGACTTGGAAGAAGATTTGGGGGAGGTGACACGAGGAATTGTTGGAGAACTAGAAGACAACCAAAAAAAAAAAAGGCAGCGGATTCAGCTCAAGTCAGTCATACCTGTGAGAGTGGTTAATTCCGGGAGGCCTGGAAAGAGAGATATAAGCGCAGAGAGAGAGAGGGAGAGAGAGAGAGAGAGAGAGAGAGAGAGAGAGAGAGAGAGAGAGAGGATACCCCTTAGCCCTCTGCCCTCTGCCTCACCCCTCTGCCCTCCGCCCTCCAGAGCTATTTAAGGGCTGTTTCTCTCTCCCCCTCCTCATTATTTCGTGTGGAGTTCATTTCCGGCGGGAGAGAGCGAGAGAGAGAGAGAGGATACCCCTTAGCCCTCTGCCCTCTGCCTCACCCCTCTGCCCTCCGCCCTCCAGAGCTATTTAAGGGCTGTTTCTCTCTCCCCCTCCTCATTATTTCGTGTGGAGTTCATTTCCGGCGGCTCGCGCCGGCGGCCTTCGGCCGCCGCCGCTCGCCAGCGCGGCCTTCGGCCGCGCGCTCCTGGTGGCAAGGAACAAGGCAGTGGACTGCTATTCCAGGAGAAACACGCATGCACAGGAATCAAGGGAGCAGAGCCTAGGCAAGAGAGAACGGCATGCAATATTACACGCGGCGGAGGCCTACATCGTGTACGGCTCCGCCCCCTCCATCTCAAGCATCGAGCGCATACACGCCGATACCGCAAGAAGAAGATGCGCCGATGACTGGAGCACGTCCAGGGGGGTCCCGGCCTGAGCAGCCCCTACAAGATCCCCCACGTGGCGGGGGAAAGTACGGGCTAAGGGAGCTACCCCGGCGGGCGCTTCCGACACGGGCGCCAACGGCGACTCGAGCGATCCTGCCAAAGTCACGCAGGATCCTCGGGATCCTGGACCGAAACTGCTCGGAAAGTTCCGGGTGGCCCCACACACTGCCAGCTGCAAGTTCGCCACCACCTCGCACGCCTCCGCCAGATTCAATATCCGGCACATGGTCAGCATGGGGTCTCTCCCCACGGGATTGGGGTGAGGTGCAGTCTGCTCTTCGAGCGGAAACGACGCCGACCAGCCAGGAACGCGGCCAACAGTCAAGCACCCAGCGGAGAAGCCAGGAACCTGACGAGGGGAGCGATAGTCGGGTCTCCCCACCCGCGCGGGCAGATACTCGGCCAACATCGGCGCGCGCAGTGGGGCCACCGGGCCGGGATCCGCGGCAAAGGGAGGGCCATTTGTCACCTCGATGTGAACGTGAGTCGGCCCCCCGCTCGCCCGGGCCTGCCGCACCACATCCACGAATGTGTTCGCAGCGTGATCAAGAGCAGGATCCGGCTGGCGGCCAGATGAGCCGCGCCCTCCGCCATTCCGCCGGCCCCGCCGCCCAGCGGAACCACCCGAATTCGGACGCGGAGGGGACGGCTCGCGACGACCTGATTCCCAGCGACGCCCAGGCGACCCCTTCCCCCGCGTCGCCGGAGCTCGCCGAGGTGATTGTTGAGCGGGGGATCGCGCTCGGGGTGAGCGCTGGCCTGCTCGACCACGAGGAGACGGGCGCCGAGGAGAGCGAGGACGCTCAGGGGAGCGCGGATCCCCCTCCCTGCGCTGATAGTGTTCGCGACGCGCGGGAGATAGGCGACGAGGAGACGGCTGCCGTTGGGGATGACGCTGAGGCGAGCGCCCGCGCTGCTGCGGCTGCTGACCGTCAGGACGGTTCGACGCTACACGCGCAGGAGCCCACGAATACTCAGGGGGGGAGAGGCGCGAGGCTGGCTGATGGGGAAGAGTCTGCACCCGCTCGAATCGGTGAACGGGCTCGCTTGCGGAGGGATGCGCAGGCAGTCGTGGCCGAGGCTCGGCAGGCGCAGGCTCCCGCGGCGCGCTCTCCGCGGAATGCTCAAGCTCCGGATCCCGTCTTGCGGACGGGTCCATCACTCCCGACCGTAGCGCAGCAGATGCCAGCGCGCCGACGAAGGGAAGGCGAGACGACCGCGGCGCCGCTGGCGGGGGGCGAGGGAGTCGCAGTAGCAAGAGCAACGCGCGGAATCTGCGTCGGACGCGGCAGTCGCCGCGGACGAAGGGGTAGCGAGCGGGGACGGGGAGGCGGCGGTGCGCGGGGCACGAACAGACGCCGCACAGGAGCCAGCGGCTTCGCGAGAAACGCGGAGAGGCTGATACGTCAGAGCGCGAGAGGCGGCGAGGAGGAACTTCGCGAGGAGGCTGAGGAGGCTACGGAGAATGAGAGAAGTGACGAGGGGGACCCCTTATTTAACCCTGAAAGAGAGGGGTTGTTAGGGGTTGAAGTCGAGGAGGATGACGAGGAGTTGGATCGCCTACTCCAAGGAGAGGAGGTCCCCAGCCCACGTGCCCGAGGCGTTCCTGCCAACCAAACCAGATCCGAAGGTGTGGGGCAAATCCCAAACCTGGGCCGAGCCGCATCTGCAACCCCAACCCCCAGAAATCGGACCGCGAGACCAAACCGAACCGCCCCCAACATTGCGGTTACCACCGCCCCAGCCAGTAACGCGGGCCCAACGCCTGCCACCCCCGCCCCAATCATCAGCGCTGACATCCTGGCAAGACGTCAAGACCTTTTCGCTGACATCGCCAACTGGGACCTCGGCCCGCTACGCGACAGCAGACAGCCTCCCCTTGCCCGCCACCCTCCTCGCCCACTTCGCGAATCCTTCGCCATCTGCCTGCTGACCCCACTTCTGCACCTCGCCATAACCCCTGATTCCACTCCTGGTTGGAAGCTGCTGATGTTTCTCCCGCGAATTCTCCTGCGCTCGTCATCTGCACGAAAACCAGACTGGAAGGCAATGGGCGACAGACTGACGAGATTTCGCCAAGGGCAGTGGCGCGGCCTTTACGACGAGGCGGCAGAAGCAGTGAACAACAACCCCCAACCACGCCACGTACCTGACACCACGGGAAAGCTGGCGAGAGCCGAGGGATTAGCGAAAAGGGGAAACCTGGCGAAGTCCCTCCAGTCGCTAACTGCCACGCCCGTCTGCTCGCCAACCCCTGACGTATTGGCTGCGCTCACGGCCAGGCACCCAAGGGCCACCGCAGCCATCCCAGTCTGGGTGCAAGACTTTGCCCCTGAGACTCTGCCCTCAATCACAGCTCGCGAGTTCAGGAAGCTGCTGGCCCGTTGCCCCAACGGCGTAGGGGCTGGGCCATCAGGGACTACCTTCGAGCACTTGAGAGATGCGGCCCTTGGGAACACCGACGTCCTCCTACAACTGCACGCGCTTACCAACACGGCGCTAGCGGGTAAACTGAGCGCCGAGGCTGCAGATCTACTCACCGCTTCGCGCCTGCTCGCCTTCACGAAACCCCAAGGCGGAACTAGGCCAATAGCCGTGGGCGAATGTCTGCTGCGTATTGTCACAAAGGCGGCGCTCTTCCTGGCCGCCCCTGCAGCGCGCGACCACTTCACCCCGCTACAATTCGGTGTGGCGATCGCGGGGGGCATCGAGGCAGCGATACACGCGGCCCGCACCTACCTGGAGGAGTTCCCCGGAGCAACGGCCCTCCAGATCGACCTGGCAAACGCTTTCAATGCCGTGGAGCGCGCGGCGGTGTTTGAAGGACTGAAAGGCACGAAGCTTGACACCCTGGTCCCCCTCGTCCGCCTCTCATACGGCCGCCCATCAGCCCTCTACCTCGACCACGATTTCGAGGCGGCGCCTCTACAGAGCGCGCGAGGCGTGCGCCAGGGTGACCCACTGGGGCCTATGCTGTTCGCGGCCAGCATCCATCCCTGTCTCGCTGCAACGGCGACGGCCCACCCAGAGGTGGTCCTCCTCGCGTACGCAGATGACATCACCCTGCTAGGCGAGACTGCGAGCTGCACGGCGGCCTTCAACCACCTCACGGAAGCACTTCTCAGCCACGGCCTGTCCCACAACCCCGCGAAATGCGAAGCATGGTCCGCCACAGCCCTGGAGCCCGCCGCTCTGCCCCACGGCGTCACTATCTCCCGGGACGGGATCCGCGTCTTGGGCAGCCCGATTGGGCCCCCCGCCGGCTGCGCTGCCCGAGTGCGGGAACGCCTTAAAGCTGCTGCTGAACCGCTCCCGCTCCTCTCCCAGATGGACCCGCAACTCTGCCTGCTCCTACTTACCCGCTGCGTGAGCCGCCGCGCTTCGTTCATGGTCAGAGCCACGCCGCTTGAAGCCCTACCGCTGAGGGAATGGTCCGCCTGGGGGGAAGAACTGTTCCATACCTACCTTGCCGCAGCACACACAGAAACCCCCAGAGCCCGGGTCGAGAGGGAGAGGATTTGGCACCAGGCCGCCCTGCCCGCGTCCCTGGGAGGCCTGGGCATCACCAACCCTGCAGTGGAGGGGGGACATGCCTACCTGGCTGCAGTCACTGCTGCTGCACACCTGCTGCGAACCTTCGGCGACGCGGCAAACCCTGCTCTCACTGGACTGCTGCCGCTAATGGACTCCAACGAGGAATCTACGTCCCTCCTCCCAAGGCGCCTTGCTGCCCTAGAAGCCGCGCTGCCTCCTGAGGGGATCGAGGCCCTCCAAGTGGGGAGACAGAGACCGGACGGGCCAAAGCTCCAACAGTCGCTCTCCCTCGCGGTTCAAACTGCAAGGTTCATGCAACTGCTCGAGAGCTCGCGGGAGATGGAGCTCAACCCACTGTTCGGACACACGCAGCGGCTGCAGTCCCTCTTGGGCCCCGGCGCAGGGGACTGGCTGCTCGCCGTCCCGCTGATCTCCTCCCTCCGCCTCGGGCCCTCTCAGTTCTCCACAGCGGCCTCCTTCCGCTTAGGCCTCCCCCTACCTGTGCCAAGGCGCTGCGACTGCAGATACCGCACCACATTCCCCGACGACCGCCTACCGAACCATTTGATGCGGTGCGAGAAAGGGGGGGGGGGAGAATTGCAACCCACAATGCCCTTCGGGACGAGTGCGCAAAGATAGCTGCGGAAGCGGGCTTCACCGTGCATAAGGAGACAACGGCTTACTCACCGGTCGAAAACCTCAAAGCGGATATCTCTATCCGCCATCCCGACACCGGTGAAGTGTGGATCTGTGACATCACGGTCACGGACCCCGTCTCCCACCAGGATGAATACGCCCGTAAAGCTCCCGGTTGGGCTGCTAGAATGCAGGCGGACAAGAAGGCAAGCAAATACGCCAGGCGGAGCGCTTGGGTGGGCTTTTACGCCTTGGCGGTTGAGACCTACGGTTACCCCTCGAGTGGAGTCCTGGAATTCCTTCGCAGCTGCGCGGAGTTAGCGGCCATGCGGCGGTTCAACGCCACCCCCAAGTCGAGGGAATGCGCCAAGCTACTCACCGAGTACCGGCAGCGGTGGAGTGTGACCCTGCAGAGAGCGCAAGCCACTGCCCTCAGGGATAAGACCCATGAGGCCCTCACGGCGGATGCGCTCGGCCTGCAGGGCCCGTTTACTCCAATGAGTGAAGGGCAGCTGTATCAGTTGATAGAAGACCCCTCCGGCCATTAGGGCCGGGCGGGGAGGGGGGGGCTGGGGCTGGGATAGTGCGGGGTTAGCTGCTGTTTTGCTGTAGCCTGGCCGTGAGATTGCTGTAGCCTTACCATCTGTGTACCTCGCTGACATTAATACCAAGGCCCGTTCGAGAGAGAGAGAGAGAGAGAGAGAGAGAGAGAGAGAGAGAGAGAGAGGACTTAGCCCCAGCCCTCTTCCTCTTCCCTCGGCCCTCTTCCTCTGAGCCTATTTAAGGGCCCTTGGTGCCTTCTTCTCCTCATTATTTCGTGTGTTCTCAGTTTTCCGCGGCTCGCGCCGGCGAGAGAGAGAGAGGACTTAGCACCCAGCCCTCTTCCTCTTCCCTCGGCCCTCTTCCTCTGAGCCTATTTAAGGGCCCTTGGTGCCTTCTTCTCCTCATTATTTCGTGTGTTCTCAGTTTTCCGCGGCTCGCGCCGGCGGCCTTCGGCCGCGCGTTTCAGAAGCAAGACACTCACACAAGGAGTTGATCAAGCAAGGCATTCCAAGAAGGAAGAAATCAAGCAACTGGAGAGCATCACCTCACGATCAAGATGCAATACTACACGAGACGCCGCTCTACTGCGTGTACAGGCCAGCCCCCTCCGCCTCAAGCATCGCGAGAAGACACCCCGCCATCGAGTGGAGAAGCTCCGCCGAGAAGCGAAGAGTGTCAACAGGGGTCCCGTGCTGAGCCGCAGCGTGAAGATCAAGAGCGAGGCGGGGGAAGGTACGGGCTAAGGGTGCTACCCCGGCGGGCGCATCCGACACGGGCGATAAAAGGGGGACAATCTCTCCTGCCCAAGCGACGCACTGTCCTTGGGGCCCTTGAGCAAAACTGCTCGGTGTGTGATGCATGGCCTCACACGGCGCCAGCTGCAGGCTCGCCAGCCCCTCAGCCGCCCCCGCCAAATTCCACATCCGGCACATGCTCAGCGTGGGATCTCTCCCCGCGCGGCTGGGGAGAGGCGCAGTCGGAACTCCGCGCGGCAGAAACATCCCCACCTGGGCCGGAGTCTGGCCAACCGTATTTTGAGGAGCAGGGTAACCTGGGGCTTGGCGGCGTCCGCGGAACGGCCCCCTCGCCGCTGCAGCTGGCAGATACTCCCGCAAGGTCGGAGCGCGCAGCGGAGCGGCTTCAACCGCAACAGGTGCGGTGGGGGGCTCAGTGGTCACAGACATGTGAACGTGAGCCGCTGCCCCCGACGCTTCCACCTCCCGCACTGCATCCGCCACCATATTCCCCGCGCGGTCAGCAGTGGAGCCCTGGCCACGACTACCCCCGCCACGCGCATAACCATTCCGCCGCCCACGACGCCCTCCAGACCCAGCCGACTGAGGACGGGGCGGGGACTGCTCACGGCGGCGAGAATCCCAACGGCCCGCATGAGCCCCGCGGCCCCGACGCGGAGGCGACGGCCGCGGCGTCCGCTGCGGAGGGGACCGCTCCCGCGGGGAGCGCTTCTCCGGCGACCTCTCAGAAGAGCGGTAGCGGCGGTCGCGATGCTGAATTTCCCGCTGATATTCGTCCCATCGCCGCCGAGAGTCATGCGGCTCGGGGGCGCGACGCGCAGGGGACGCGGATCGATATCCACGAGGCGGCGGGGACCGGCCCCGCTCCTGACGCGCCGGCAAGGCATTCGAGGCGACGACTAGGGGAGCACGGGATTGCTCAGGAGACGCGTGACGATCCGCCCCGCGCAGCGGAAGAGACAACCCGCGCTCAAGACGGCGCACGGGCGCCGACGCAGCAGGACGAGCCTGCACTTGGGAACGCGGAGGCGCATACTCGGGGTTTGACTGCGCAACAAGCTGAGCGCTCTCCGCGGTTGCTTCCAAGGCGCGGTCGCGACCCACGGACCCCGCCATCATGACCGAGGCGTGAGCCGAGGACGCCAGAGCCCCGCTTGGCAGGGGAGGAGATTGGCGAAAACCGCACGCCTGTAATGCACAGCCCAATCGCGAGGAGTGGCACACCTGGCGGACGACGCGTAGGCGGGAGAGGACGCCGAGGAAGAGGAGCTGGGAGGAGAGGAGGCCGACGTACAGGCGCGAGCGGCTATGCGAGGACAGCAGAACAACTACTCCGGGAAGGCGCGGAAGGCGGCGAGGAAGCCGCTAGCAGGGGGGAGAGTGGTGAACCGGAGAATGACGAGAGTGACGAGGGTGACCCAGGTTTTAACCCCGAAACGGAGGGAGGTTTGGATGCTGAAGCTGATGACGATGATGAGGAGCTCTTGGTTCGTGGGGCTGAGTTCCTGGACCAACAAATTGGAGCCGCGTCTGCAGCACGAACCCCAGCCAGGAATCGGAATGTGGGGGAAAATCAGGCCTGGAGGGGAAATCGGACCGCGGCAGAAATCACATTTGACTCTGCCGCAACCAATAGGAACACCCCAACCCCAACTCCAACCCCACCAATGATCCACCCAGGCGACTTGGCGAAACGACTGGACCTTTTCGCGCAAGTCGCAGGCTGGGACCTGGACCCACTGCGCGACAGTCGCCAGCCCCCCCTCGCCCGTCACCCGCCAAAAGACCTTCGCGAATCATTCGCAGTCTGCCTACTCACCCCACTACTCCACCTGGCAGCCAATCCCAACTCGACCGCGGAGTGGAGGTTACTGACTTTCCTCCCGCGAATCCTCCTACGCACCTCGTCAGCTCGCAAACCAGACTGGAACGCGATGATGAATCGCCTCCTCCGTTTCCGCCAGGGACTCTGGTCTGGCCTGTACGACGAGGCAGTTGAAGCAATTTCCCTCCCAGCCCAGCCACGTCACGTACCTGACACTCAGGGCATCCTTGCTAGAGTGGAGGGACTGGCCAAGCATGGTAACCTGGCCAAGTCACTACAGTCCCTCCAAGCCACTCCGGTCTCACCTGCCTCCCCTGAAGTGTACGCGGCATTAGCAGCACGACACCCGCAAGCACTCCAGCCCTTACCAGAATGGATACGCACCTTCTCCCCCGAGAAAACCCCTTCGATAGAGCCGCGCGACTTCAGGCGCATCGTAGCCAAACTCCCAAACGGGGTGGGAGCAGGGCCCTCAGGCACAACCTTTGAGCACATACGCGATGCTGCACTCGGAAATCCAGACATCTTCGCCCATCTCCTCGCACTTACCAATACAGCTATAGCCGGGAAACTCAGCAGCGAGGCCACCGAGCTCCTCACAGCCTCACGGCTCTTGGCCTTCACAAAACCGCAGGGGGGGACCCGACCGATAGCCGTGGGCGAATGCCTTCTTCGCATAGTGGCCAAGGCAGCATTGTTCCTGACTGGGGCGGCGGCACGATCACACTTTGCGCCACTACAGTTCGGGGTAGCAGTGGCTGGAGGGATTGAGGCGGCCATTCACACTGCGCGCACATACCTGGAGGAGAACCCGGGCTCGGTGGCGCTGCAGATTGACCTCGCCAACGCGTTTAACGCGGTGGAAAGGGCGGCGGTATTCGAGGGGCTCAAGAACGAGTCCCTTGAAAGCCTTCTGCCCCTTGTCCGCCTCTCCTACGGAACTTCCTCAGCACTCCACCTCGACCATGACTTCGGCGTGGCTCCACTGCTAAGTGCTAGAGGCGTCCGCCAGGGGGACCCTCTTGGCCCCTTGCTCTTTGCGGCAAGCATCCACCCACACCTTACCGCAACGGCACTAGCTCACCCAAGGGTCGTCATTCTCGCCTATGCAGACGACATAACGCTGCTAGGCGAAGCAGAAGCGTGCACGGCGGCATTAACACACCTCACTGCCGCACTGATCCACATAGGCCTCGAGCACAACCTTGGGAAGTGTGAGGCTTGGTCTGCAACCGCCTTAGACCCCGCCTCTCTCCCTCCGAGCTTCCCCATTGCAGCAGATGGACTGCGGATATTGGGAAGCCCAATCGGGACCCCAGATGGCTGTGCCGCCAGAGTAAGGGAAAGGCTTGCAGCAGCAGCAGAACCCTTGCCGCTCCTGGCCCAAATGGACCCCCAATTGTGCCTGCTGCTACTCACCCGCTGCGTGGGCCGGCGAGCATCCTTCCTGGCCAGAACCACTCCGCTAGAGGCCCTACCTGAGGATGAATGGGCGGCATGGGGGGAGCAACTGCTGCATACCTTCCTGGACGCGGCCCATATCATGCTGCCAAGGAGTGACGCGGAACAGAGGAGAATCTGGAGGCAAGCGGCGCTGGCCGTAACATTGGGGGGGCTTGGCATTACAAATCCTGCAGTTGAAGGGAGCTCTGCGTACCTTGCGTCCGTGGTGGGCACCTCCCACTTACTGCACTCCCTGGCCGAGGCACTCCACCCAGATGTAGCAGCCCTCCTCCTCCTAATGGACCCCACCTCCGGCTCCGCGCACGCCCTGCCTGCACGCCTTGCAGCAGCGGAAGCAGCCCTCCCCCCCGAGGCTCTAGAAGCTCTCCAGGCCGGGAAAGCAGACCCACAGGGCCTCAAGCTGCAGCAGTCTCTAGCGCTGGCGGTTCAGACACGCCGCTTCCTGAGGGTCATGAACGAGGCAAGGCGGATGCGCCCCAACCCCCTCTCTGGCCATGCCCAGAGAATGCAGTCGATGCTCGGCCCTGGTGCGGGAGACTGGCTGCTGGCACTACCCATCATACCCTCGCTTAGGATGGGACCCTCCCAGCTCTCCTCCGCTGCTGCGTTCCGCCTGGGCCTCCCCCTACCTGTCCCCAGGCGCTGCGACTGCCGCTACCGCACCAAATTCCCTGATGACCGCCTCCCAAACCATCTCATGCGCTGCGAGAAAGGGGGGGGAAGGATTGCGACTCACCATGCGCTCAGGGACGAGATTGCTTTGATTGCGGCAGAGGCGGGATTCACGGTGCACAAAGAAACCTATGTATTCTCTCTCGTTGAAAACCTGAAGGCGGACGTCGCAATCCGCCATCCCCGGACGGGAGAGGTTTGGATGTGCGACGTGACAGTGACGGACCCCGTTTCTCACCAAGATGAGAACTGCAATAGAGCACCGGGGTGGGCGGCTAGGGCAGCTGCGGACAAGAAGGAGCAGAAATACGCGCGGGCTGATATTCGCGCAGCGTCGGTGCGCGCAGAGGAGCAACCTGGCCGGGGTCCGCGGCGAAGGGGGGACCATTGGTCACCTCAATGTGGACGTGCGTCGGCGCCCCACTCGCCCGGGCCTGCCTCACCACCTCCACGAACGTGTCCGCAGCGCGATCGAGGGCAGGATCCGGCTGGTTGCCATTCCCGCCTCGCCCTCCGCCTTTCCGCCAGCCCCGCCGTCCCCCGGAACCAGCCGAATGTGGACGGGGGGGGGGGGACTGCTCGCGGCGACCCGAATCCCAGCGACGCCCAGGCGACCCCCTCCCCCGCGTCGCCGGAGATCGCCGCGGAGAGCGTTGCACGGGGGATCGCGCTCGGGGTGAGCGCTGGCCTGCCTGACCACGAGGGGATGGGCGGCGAGGAGAGCGAGGACGTGCAGGGGAACGCTGTCGGAGTTCTTCCCTTCTCCTTCCTCACTCCTCCCTTGCCCCTGCCTCTTCCCTGCCTTGTGTCCTCACCTTCTTCCCTTCCTTCTTATTCTCGCCTTTCCCCACCTTGTGCTGTCCCCACTCCTGTTACCCAGTTCCCTTCTGCGTTCTCAGCCACTACCTGCCCCCTCCTGTGCTCGTGCTCGAGCTGCTCGGGCGCGAGTCACAGGACTCTCAGCTGAGGACGGCTGCTCTTCAGTCCTGCCGTGCGGGTCTGGTGGTCCCCGGTCTGTTCTCCCTTCTTCTTCTCCAACACTAGCACTCCCACGCCTCGCACTGCTCGCGCCCTCCCCTTCACTCTTCCCTATTCCACAGCTAGTGTATCCTTCTTTGCCCCTCTCTTCCCGTCCCACCTCTCTAGCCGCCCTTATCCCCTTGCCTTCCTGCTGCTGCCACTGCTCACGGCTGCACGCATCCCTCAACTGCACGGTATGTAGGTCCTCCACCGATACCGGTATCACCTCCTCCAAGTGTTCGGCTGCCTTAGCTTGCTCCCATGCCGCCCGGTTCTCCGCCTCTTCCATTGCATGGTCTGCCTTTTCCCCTGTTGCTAGGGGCTCCCCTGCCCCCACTTCCTCACTCTCCTGCTCTGCTTCCCCCAGCAGCTCTGGCCTTCCTTCCCGCAGCTTCCTCACATGCTGCTCCGCCAGCTTGTTTCCCTGCGCTTGCTCCTCTGCTTGCATCCGATCCTTCATTGTCACGCCAGTCTTTGCCCCTGCCCTGATTTCCCCGAACAACTCCGCTGTCCTCAGCGCTGGCTGCCAACCACTCCCTCCCATGTCTGTACTGCTCAGCTCCTTCTTCCCTCCTTTCTTCACCGCTCCCCCCTTCTCGCCCTTCCCTTCCGCATCTGCTGTCGCTGGTACACACGGCCTTGCCCCCCGCCTCTACGTCCCTCTCTTCTACTTCTCCTGCTGCAATTTCGCTCACTCCTGCCCCCACCTGCTCGTCCTTCTCTTCTGCTTCCGCGGCTGCTGGTACGCACGCCCAGGTCCCCTCCCTCTCATTCTTCCCTTCCCCTTCTGTGGCTGCCCATTCCTTCACCTTTTCATTCATCCCTTCAGTGCCTGCTGCTACTAATTCGCACACTCCCGCCTCCTCCTTCTCGTCCTTCTCTTCCCTTTCTGCCAATGCCCATTCCCTCACCTTCTCATTCTTCCCTTCAGTGTCTGCTGCTACAAATTCACACCCTCCCGCCTTCTCCTTCTCGTCCTTCTCTTCCCCTTCTGCCACTGCCCATTCTCTCACCTTCTCATCCTTCTCCTCCTCTCCTGCCACTGCCCATGCCCTCACCTTCGTTGCTTGCTCCCTTCCTCCGTCCCTGCCCCCACTGCGCAGCCCCATGACTGCACTGCTACGAAGCACTGCACCGGCATATTCTGGCTCCTGCTCCTTTTCCTCTTCCTCCTCTTCCTCCTCTTCCTTCCTTACATACAACCCCACCTGCCCCTCTGTTCTTTCTCTGAGCGCCCGCCCTTTCCTTCCGTCTCTGCCCCCACTGCGCAGACCCAGTTCCTCATGGCTACGTAACGCCAGGCATGTGTACTCTGGCTCCTGCCCCTCCTCCTCTTCTGCTCCTTCTTACCCAGCCTCCTTCTCCTTACTTCCTCCCAGGGCCTGCAACTCCGCCCGCAATTTCCTTATCTGGCTCTCAGTCTCCTCTGTTGACCCTTTCCTTCCGCCTGTCCCTTTATCGCAGTCCCTTGCCTCATGCCCCCTTTCCCCGCACTCTTTACATGTCGGTGCCTCCGGACAGTCCCTTCGGCGGTGCCCTGGCTTCCCACATACATCGCAGTTCCTGCAGTGCATCCTTATGTGCCCCGGCTGCCCACATCGGTAACAAGTGCGTGTCTCTGTCCTTTTCTCCAGCCTGCTCTCTTCTCCTGTTCCCTCCCCTGGTATCATCGCCGCTGCCCAGGTAGGACTCTTCTTCTCTATCGTCCTTGGCAGGTATACCTCGTACTTCCTCTGCGCGAGCTCCACCCGCTCCGCTAACTCGAACACCTCTTCTGGTGTTGCATCTGCTCCTAGCTCATAGACTCTCATTCTCAACCCTCCTGCCAATCCCTTGTCTAAACCGTTCAGAAACTTGCTAATGATCATGCTGCTGTCCGTGCACACCACATCTTCCGCCAGGTTCGTTAACCGTCCGTAGTATGTCAGCAGTGACTCCTCATCCCTTCGCCTAAACTCCTGAAATTCCCGAATGCGCACCGCCGTATGCCCAGGGAACTGCTTTCTTAGGTGCTCCAGGAACAGTACCGTTGGGTCCTCGTCATCCTCTTCTGCCCTCCTCAGCCATTCACCAATCTTCATGCGATACAGAGTCTCTGCTTCCCCTCCCAACGTGCTTGGCAGGCTCAGGAAGAACTCGATCGGGTCCATCCCGCTTCTGTCGCATCGGTATTTAACACTGCTGATCTGCATCAAGTAATTTTTCAGACTTGGGCCGGTTTTCTCGTTTCCCGTGAAGCGTACTGGCACCTCCACTCGCGGCTGTGCTGTTGCGCCCCACTTCCCTGTTTCCCAGCTCTCCGTCCCTCCTCGCTCAGACACCATAACCCCTCTCCTCCTCTCCTGTTCTCCCCTGCTGCCTGTGCTGGTTCCGTACAGCACTCGCTCTAATCCTTCCCTAGCCGCTCTTGCTCCCGCAGATCCTTCGCCGTGACGCCCCGGCCTCCTCGGGCCCATCGGGCTAGTGCTCCTCCCTCGCGCATCTTCACGCTCCTCCCAGCGCCTCTCTGCATCTTCCCAACACTTCTCTCCCCTTGCAGGGGACCGCTCCTGGTACCGTCGCCCTCTGTCCTCTCGCTGTCGCTCCTTCTCTGCTGCCCTCGAGACTTCTGGTGTCCGCACACCTTCTCTCTTGCCTCGCCAGTCCTCCTCGCGCCTCCACTCCCTTCCTCTTTCCGGTGAGTCCCACCTGTCTCTTTCCTCATAATCTCCACACTCTTCCCAGCCTCGGCGTTCCTGGTCCCGTTTCCCCCTTTCCCTTTTTCTTCCTGCCTCTTCACCCCCTTGGTATCGCTCTCCTTCGCCCCTCCTCTCACGGCTCTCTCTCTCGGGCCACCTTCTTGCTTCTTTGCTTGTTTCCTTTGCAGCCCTTCTCTCTGCCCACAGGTGTTCTTCTGCTTTCTCACGGCGCGCTCCCGCCTGTTCCCTTGAGGCGCTGGGTGGCGATCGTATGCTACCCCTGCCTTGCGCCTTCTCCGCTGGCCGCCGCCTCCTTGCTGGAGAGTGCTGAACGCGCTTTCCTTCGTGATCCTCGTCCTCCTCCTCTTCTGACCATTCCAGCGATCTCCCTTCTCCCATCGCCATACGCCTCCTGCCCGTACGGCCTTGTCCTGGCTCGGGCGAACGATACACTCCTGCTGGTGCAGCACGCCTCTTCTCCTCCTCCCCTCGCTCCCTTGACCAGGGCTCAGCTGCTTTGCTCCTGCTGCGCATCGCTTCACTCCCGCGCACCTCCTCTGGCGTGCGATCTGCATCCGCGCGATTCCCCTGGCGCCTCGCTTGACTCCCGCGCACCTCCTCTGGCGCGCGATCTGCATCCGCGCGATTCCCCTGGCGCCTCGCTTGACTCCCGCGCACCTCCTCTGGCGCGCGATCTGCATCCGCGCGATTCCCCTGGCGCCTCGCTTGACTCCCGCGCACCTCCTCTGGCGCGCGATCTGCCTCCGCGCGATTCCTCTGGCATTTCGCGCCGCCCCCACCCATTCCGTCGGTCGCGCCATCTGCCTCTGCGCTCCCGCGTCGCCTTGCGCCACTCCCACACACTTCGTCTGTCGAGCGATTTAATCCCGTCGCCTCTCCGCGTTCTTCACGTTTTTCTCCACGACGCCTTTCGCCTGCCTTGCGCATGTCGCCCGGTGAGTGATCTTCTTCCTCGTCCATGGGATCACCCTCCGCCAACTCCTCGCCGTCGGCCTCCTTCGCCAACATCAGCGAGTCCGTCTCATCGGCATCCTCCTGACGCCTTACTCCCGCGCCCCGCTGGCCTCTTGCCAGATCCCAGGGATCGCTCCTCGACGGCTGGGGTCCTGGCACCGATCTGATCTGCAGTCCGTCACTGGTCGCCTTCCAATCCGCCCGATCCGCCTCTCTGCTAGGCGAGCGACCTGGCGAACTTCCCCGCTCCTTTGAGCGCATCCTTCGCGACGGCGGTATCTCCCGCTGCGAGTACGTCCGCTGCCACCGCAGCTCATGGCAGTCCATACTGCCTATCTGTTTCTCTCGTCTTGTGAGAAGTTTACTCTCCCACAAGATGGCTGCCCACAGTGGCTTAGTCACCTAGCTAGGGTAGCCTTGTTGCGGTAACGTTATCCACTATATGAGGCAAACAAGACGAGAGAACAGGTTTGCTATGCTAGGCTAGGCTATTTGTGCTTGGCTGCCCAGTCGCGAGTAACTCAGCGTGCTGGGTTGAGCTCGAGCCGCCTAGGCCTTGGAGTGGCCCTCGCCAGATTGCCTGTCTCCCGAGGTTCCTGAAATTGTCCCCGACGCGCCCTGTAACCCCCGATGCTACCCAACTTCTCGCTACTCTCTATAACCCAACTACCCCACATGCAGATTGAATAACACTCGGTACACCACTTCTACACCTAATTAGCACATGTCTTCAATATGATGCTCTTACCATTATATTTGGTGACAACGCTGACCCCCCTCCCCGTGCTGATAGTGCTCGCGATGCTCAGGAGAAGGGCGGCGAGGAGAGGGCAGCCAAGGAGGCTGACGCGGAGGCGAGCACCCGCGCTCATGCCGCGGCTGACCGTCCGGGCGGTTCGACGCAACACGTGCAGGCGCCCACGAATACTCCGGCGAGGTGGGGCGCGCCGCAGGCTGATGGGGAAGTGTTTGCACCCGCTCGAAGCGGCGAACGGGCTCGCTTGCGGAGGGGTGCGCAAGGAGACGCGGACGAGGCGCGGCAGGCACAGGCTGCGGCAGCGCGCTCTCCGCGGAACCCTCCAGCTCCGGATCCCGTCTCGCGGATGGGTCCATCACCCCCGATCGTACCGCAGCCGACGCCAGCGCGCCGACGAAGCGAAAACGAGACGGTCGCGGCGCCGCAGACAGGGCGCGAGGGAGCTGCTGTTTGAAGAGCAACGCGTGGAATCCGCGTAGGACGCGGCAGCCGCCGCGGACAACGAGGTAACGAGAGAGGACGAAGAGGTGGTGGAACACGAGGTTCAAACAGGCGCCGCACAGGTGCAAGCGGCTACGCGAGAAATGCGGAAAGGCTGATGCGAAACGGCGCGGAGGGCGACGAGGAACCGCTTAGCGAGGAGGCAGAGGAGGAAGTGGAGAATGAGGAAAGTGACGAGGGTGAACCTGCTTTTAACCCTGAAAGAGAGGGGATGTTGGGGGCAGAAGCCGAGGAGGACGAGGAGGAGTTGGAACTTTTGCTTTGAGGAGAGGAGCTCCCCAGCCCCAATGTCCGGGGCGAACCTGCCAACCGAACCACAGCTCAGAACCGAGCCGCGGGGGAACATCACGCAAGGAGGGGAAATCGAGCCGCGACAGAGACTGGAGTTGACTCTGCGACAGCCAATGAGAATTCAGCAGCCCCCCCAATTCCGACCCCCCCAATGCTCAAACCTGACGACCTGGCGAAAAATACTGACCTGTTCGCCCAGGTTGCCGACTGGGACACTGGCCCGCTGCGAGACAGTCGCCAACCCCCAGTCGCCCGCCACCCTCCAAAAGACCTTCGCGAGTCTTTCGCGATTTGCCTGCTGACACCGTTACTCCACCTGGCAGCAAACCCCGAGTCAGAACCTGGCTGGATGTTACTCACCTTCCTCCCTCGCTTACTTCTTCGCTCCTCGTCAGCTCGTAAGCCTGACTGGAACGCAATGATGAACAGGCTCCTGCGATTTCGCCAAGGGCTCTGGGCCGGCCTCTACGAAGAAGCTACCGAATCAATCTCCCTCCCCCCGCAGCCTCGCCACGCACCTGACACAACTGGAATTTTCGCCCGAGCGGAGGGCCTGGCGAAGTGTGGTAACCTCTCGAAATCGTTGCAATCCCTGCAAGCCACGCCCGTGTCGCCAGCCTCACCTGGAGTTCTCACGGCCCTCAGGACGAGACACCAACCTGCATCCCAACAACTACCTGATTGGCTGCACGCTGCCACAGCGGAAAACCCTCCCGCTATCGAAGCCCGCGACTTCAGAAGGATCATCGCCAAGCTCCCCAATGGAGTGGGGGCGGTCCCCTCAGGAACTACCTTCGAACATCTCCGTGATGCAGCACTAGGAAACGCCGAAGTCTTCACCCACCTCCTAGCCCTCACCAACACGGCTCTAGCAGGGAAGCTACCAGCCGTTGCAGGAGAGCTACTTACCGCCTCTCGTCATTTGGCCTTCACGAAACCGCACGGTGGGACGAGGCCGATCGCGGTTGGGGAATGCCTACTTCGGATCATCGCCAAAGCCGCTCTGTTCCTGATCGCGCCCGCCACTAGATCTCACTTCGTCCACCTTCAGTTCGGCGTGGCGGTAGCGGGGGGCATTGAGGTCGCTATACACACGGCACGTACTTACCTGGAAGTCCACCCCGCGGCAGTAGCACTACAGATCGACCTCGCGAACGCGTTCAACGCGGTCGAGAGGAGAGCGGTGTTCGAGGGGTTGAGGACCGAAGCGCTCGAGAGCCTCACCCCCCTGGTCCGCCTGTCTTACGGAGTCCCCTCCTCGCTCTTCCTCGACCATGAGTTCGCAGCGGCTCCACTGCAAAGCGCCAGGGGGGTCCGCCAAGGTGACCCCCTCGGGCCCCTTCTATTCGCCGCCAGCATCCACCCCTGCCTTGTTGCGACGGCCGCGGCTCACCCGCAGGTGGTCCTACTCGCCTACGCCGACGACATCACGCTGCTCGGTGATGCGTCTGCCTGCGCCGCGGCCTTCGACCACCTCACAGCCGCGCTCGCCTCCATGGGGCTCCTCCACAACCCTGCTAAGTGTGCGGCTTGGTCCGCCGCCCCAATTGACCCTGCCTCCGTCCCCCCCGGCATCACCATCTCGACCGAAGGGCTGCAAATCCTCGGCAGCCCCGTCGGCACAACGCAGGGCTGCGCCGCGGCAGTCAGGGACAGGCTTACGGCAGCAGCTGAACCGCTCCCGTTGCTAGCGCAAATGGACCCGCAGCTCTGCTTCCTCCTCCTCACACGTTGCGTCAGCCGCCGCGCCTCCTTCCTGGCAAGGACAACCCCGCTGGAGGTCCTGCCCACAGCAGAATGGTCGGCATGGGGGGAGCGGCTGCTCCACGCGTTCCTAGAGGCCGCGCACATTGTTGCGCCAAGAAGCAACGCGGAAAGGAGGCGTATTTGGCGGCAGGCAGCGCTCCCGTTACCTTGGGGGGTTTAGGCATTACGGACCCGGCCGTGGAAGGGAGTTACGCGTACCTCGCTTCGGTGGTCGGCGCGGCTCACCTCCTGCACTCGCTAGCCGACTCCCTACACCCCGCCATAGCCGCACTGCTCCCCCTTATGGACTCCGCCCCGGACTCCGCAGCAGCCCTGCCCTCACGCCTAGCTGCAGCTGAAGCGGCCCTGCCCCCTGATGGCCTGGAGGCCCTTCAGGCTGCTAAGAGCGACCCCAAGGGACTGAAGCTCCAGCAGTCCCTGGCCCTGGCGGTCCACACCCGCCGCTACCTCCGAGTGCTGAACACGGCGCGGCGTATGCGCCCAAACCCCCTCTCAGGGCATGCTCAGCGGATGCAGTCCCTGCTGGGCCCGGGAGCAGGGGACTGGCTGCTGGCAATCCCACTCTCTTGTGCGCTGAGGCTGGGCCCCTCCCAACACTCTACTGCTTCCTCCTTCCGCCTAGGCCTCCCCCTCCCTGTCCCAAGGCGGTGTGACTGCCGATACCGCACCACCTTTCCTGATGACCGCCTCCCGAATCACCTTATGCGCTGCGAGAAGGGAAAAGGGAGGACTGCCACACACCATGCTCTCAGGGATGAAATCGCAAGGATAGGGGCGGAAGCAGGCTTCACGGTTCACAAGGAGACCTATGCCTACTCTCTGGTTGAAAACCTTAAAGCGGATGTCTCCATCCGCCATCCCCTGACTGGAGAAGTGTGGCTTTGTGACGTGACCGTGACCGACCCAGTGTCCTTCCAGGACGAGAACTGCAACCGCGCACCTGGTTGGGCGGCTAGGGCGGCAGCTGCTCGGAAGGAGGAGAAATATGCGGGATGGAATGCGTGGGTGGGGTTCCACGCCTTGGCCGTGGAGACCTACGGCTACCCGTCGCCGGGGGTACTGGCTTACCTGCGGCAGTGCGCGGAGCTGGCTGCGAAGCTCCACTACAACGCGGCCCCTACCTCTCGAGAGGCTGCCAAGCTGCTGACGGAGTACCGCCAGCGCTGGAGCGTGTGCCTCCAGAGGGCACAGGCAAATGCCCTCCGCACCAAGACCAACGAGGCCCTGGAGGCGGACGAGCTCAGCCTGCAAGGGCCATGGGCCCCTCTCAACGAGGGGCAGCTGCACCAGCTGATCGAGCCCCCGTCTGACCACTAGGGTCGGACAGCGGGGGGAGGGGAGGGGAGTAGGTGATGGTTGATAGGTCTGCTTGTTAGCCTAGTTTGCATGTGTCTGCTTCAAATCTTTGTACCACCCTTCAGCTAATACACGGACCATTCGAGAGAGAGAGAGAGAGAGAGAGAGAGAGAGAGAGAGAGAGAGAGAGAGAGAGAGAGAGAGAGTAGGCTTTGATTACCATGTGAGAGGATCGTATTTTCGCTTCCTAATTCAATAATGAGCCTGGGTACAACTACAAGACTATACACAGGATCATTTGAAAGAAGCACATGGGAAAGGGTACAGCGAGGTTGAATGGGCCATTCTGGGCCATTCCTGGTGTGAGAGAGTAATGGGTGGAGCGGGACGACACGGAAAGAGGGATGGTGGCCCCAGCCAACAACAAGGATGGATGAATGAATTTCATCAGAGTGAGCACACTAAAGCAGGGGTCAGCAGGGAGCAGCAGAGAAAAGCATGGGACAGCAACAGGGAGCAGCAGCACGGACCTGTGGTGATGTTCCAGGTGAGGATGGAGTGGAGCTGCGGGGATTCAGAGGAGGAAGCAGTGAAGCCCATGCGGAACGATGCCTCGGCTGCACTGGGCTGCAGGAACTCGCACAGCGACACCTGCATCGCCAGCACCGCCTTGCCCGGCCGGTGGGAAACCTTGCCTGAAAGAAACACTCGCAGCGACCCCATGCCACTGCTGCTGCTGCTGCTGCTGCCATAGCCATCACTGGCACCAGCAGAGGAGGAAGGAGAGGGGTCAAAGACGATCCAGGCATGCTTCGGTTTGCCGTCGTTGAGAGAGAAGGGCGCTTTGGCAGTTGCGATGGAAGAGGTGTTGCCCCTCACACTCACTCCCACGTGACTCTTGACCGGATCGTTGGCGTCGGTGCTTCTGGCAGTGTCGAACTCCACGGCTATGCTGCGCTCATCCATGCCTGCATACCCTAAGCTGCCGCCGCCACCACTGCCGTTGCTGCTGCCACTGCTACCGCCCGTAGCGGAGCCACTGGCGGAAATCACAAACGCAAACCCATCCCCTGCATCTCCCGCAGCTGTGGCTGCTGCCCTGCGGGAGATGGCTGGTTTGAGAATGGAGAAGGAGAAATAGACGGTGAAGGCCAAGGGGCGGCCGCAGGCACCGGCCTTGAGGGCGAAGGAGAAGAGTGGGACAGGGAGTTTAAAAAACGCTGCACCCCACGTGTTGGGCTGTGAGGCTGTGAGTGTGATGAGCCCGTTGCTTGCCACTGCCGCCCCTCCCTTCACTGCTGTCTGTGCTGCTGTTGGCTGCACGGTTACTGGGCCAACCCCTTGGCCTGGTGGTGGGAGTGGGGGCAAAGGTATGCAGCAGAAGAGGGAAAGGCGCAGGCAGGCAGGGAAGGGGCTGAAAGTCACAGGGCAGAGAAGTCTTTGGCTAAAATGCATTGCTTGAGAGCTCTGCTGTAGGGGGCTTCACTGGCATTGGGACAACCTTCTGGGCGGGCGGTGGGTGAAGGAGAATGGAATTGGCAACTTAGGTGCTGGTTGCAGGAACGCGAGTTCAAAATGCTGAGTTAAGACAATTTGCAGGAAGAAGATTCCACAACAACCCACACAACCCTCACTCTCCTCTTCCCCCATCTTCCCCTCCTGCACTGCACTCACTTCCTTCAGGAACGCAGCTTCCAGGCAGCTCCCCGTTGACAAACCCGGGGTGACAGTCACACGTGGGCACTCTGTTGGGCCCGTCCACATAGCACGAGCCATGCCCACCGCACGGGGGATCGGCAGCACTCACGCCGCAAAACACATCGCAGAGCTCCTCCGGCCGCTGCACCGCTGCATCCGCAGCAGAGGGTGTCGCAGGCGTGGGGCAGGAGTAAGCTTGGCTGGGGACTTGGAGGCAGTTAAATCGGAAGGAGATGGAGCGTTCTGAGCAGTTGGGTGGGGAGGAGAAGCCTGAGGAGAGGTAGTTGTTGTCGAGATCGTAGACGGTGAGGTTTGCTGGGATGGGCTGCAGTACAGGGCCTGTCAGCTGGTTGTTGCGCAGGTTGCTGTGAGCAGGGTGAGGAGGAGAGGGAGTGGGTTATTGGAAGAGAGAAGTCGAGAGAAAGGAAAGTCGACTTTTAGAATGAAGGGGGATGTGCAGCGCTGAGCGGCTTCACTTTTTTCTAAATTAGCTTTACCAAGGCATGACATATCCTCTCTGAGGCATGTATGAGATAGGGTTGAGCAAAAAAACGAACACCGTTCGAGGCGAACCGAACAGGTTTTTTTTTTGGCTTAAAATGTTCGCCGAACAGTGTTCGATGTTCGCCCGAACACGTTCGTGTTCGGGCCGCTGCTGCAATTTGCCCGCGACGAACACGAACAGTGTTCGAGGTTCGCTCGAACACGCCTTCACAGGCGAACGGCGAACACCATTTTTTGCTCAAAGTGTTCGCCGAACCGAACAGTGTTCGGTTCGGCAAACGAAGGTGTTCGTGTAGGGGCGAACACGAACACGTTCGTGTTCGCCACTTGCTCATCCCTAGTATGAGATACCAACTTTGAGATGCTTCTGATTTCAGCAGAACGAAAAGGTGAAATAGAGCAGGAGGGAGGCAAGCAATGGTCTTCCTCAGGACGTCAAGCCATGTATTTTAGAAGGATTGGAGGCGCATCAGATGGATTAGCAGGTAGAGGGGAGAGAGGTGGTGGGGAGGGAGGAGGGCCGGGTGTGGAAGAGTGGTGAATGGGGATGAGAGGAGGTCAGTGGGGCGGACACACAGGAGAGTGAGGCGGACAAGGCCGGTGTACTGAGTAGGAATAGTTCCATGCAGAAGGTTGTTGCTCAGGTCACTGCAGAGGGAATGAGAGAGAATGGGAGAGAAATGGGTGAGTCAAAAACAGATTGTAGAGCGGGTATTGGAGGGGACGGATGGGATGGGAGGCTAGGAAAGTGGAGGCAGCATTCGCAGGTCTAAAAAATAAACGTGGGAAGGGTCATATGCAGATGCACAACGGCTATTACATGGTAGAATGCAAACCTGGTAAAAAAGCATCATTACAGATAGCACAGCATTGCTGTTGTTAGTGGTCGCTGTATGGAACAAGGGTGAACACTATAGCAACGAGCAGTAGCAGCAGCAGCAGCAGGTGTCAGAGAAAGGGACGAATCCTTGTAAGTGCACAGACGGAGGCATGGGTTTGAACTTAGTTAGCTACCCTTGTTCACAAATCAATCAGCAAGGTGGGGCTTTCGTGAGTGCGCATCCAGCATGGAAGTCGTCAATGGAAAATCAATGTTTTTGCAAGGAAGCATCATGAATGTATATGCGAAGAGTCAACCTACAATGGGTTAGACTATGTGGGAGGCTAAGGGTTGATCGTAGCATTGTGTATGCTTGTACATACTAGTGGTGTAGGAACAAATTGACAAGAGTTTTACTAGCAAGAAGAAATCAACAACAATACAACGGAAGGCATGCAACACGCCTAGCAGCATTGTCGTCACCTAGCAGCAAGCCAGCTTGCAAAGTTAGCAGCAAGGAGGCTTGCCAACGCAGCAGCAACAAGGCGGCTTGCCAACACATTTGCCAGGTGCCAGGTTGTAGAGAACATGGCGCCATTTCCGCAGGTCTACATTTGCACACATGCAGAATATCGCCGACCAGTAATTTTGTCAACCAGAAAGACATCGCCACCGATGGCGTTTACTTTCAGTGGGATCTCCATCAGCCTTTGATAAACTTCACTCGACGCTTCTCGGACCTTGATAAACTTACTTGAAATCCCCATCAACCTCGAAACCAAGCCAAATGCATACAATTGCGCACCGGACGGCGAGGCCAACTTCGCCCAGGCGAGAGCAGTGCCATTCTCGTCAACAGCATATACGTCATGTCGGCTATGGCGTGCGAATTGCTCGCATGGCTCAGCTAGGAGGATCACTCACATGGCTTCCAGCTTTAATAGTCCTCCAAGAAGAGTGGGCAGTGTGCCGCTGATTTGGTTGGAGCAGAGGTTTCTGGGGGGGGGGGGGGTGCAGTTGGGCAGTGGGAATACGATGAAAATGGGAGTAGAGTAAGGGGCGATGAGGGGTATGGTAAGTAAGAACGAATTGACATAGTCAGCAGATAATAGGGATGGTGGATGAAATGGGGCCTATGGGACAGCAATCAGACTCAGGACAAAAGAATGGGGAGAGAGATGGGAGAGGGGTGTACTGTTGAAAAAGAATGTTGCAGTGGGAACTGAAGGGGGATAGTGCGTGCGGGGGTGTGAGAAGATGGAAAGAAGATAAAGAGAGTCGGGGGACAAGGTGAGCAGGACGTGAGGGCTCATGGGGCACTGACATCGCTTCGAGGTTGACGAGATTGGAATACTCCACAGGTATGGAGCCGGTCAACTCGTTGCCACTCAGATTGCTGCCGTGAATAAGATGCCGGTTGGGCGGAGGGGAGTGAGAGGGTGGAAAGGCAGGGGAAAAGGAGTTTAAATGGGAAGGAGAAAGTGAGGGGGATTGAAGGGGGGAAAGGAGGGGACGTGCAATCGGAGAGAATGCCACTTTGTAGAAGTGTTATCAGACAGGATGCGTGAAGTACAAAGAACCGCCTGAAAAGGATTGGGTCCCTGGAAACGCATGCTACATGCAGAGTGCCCCTACCAGAGTCGTAGAAGCAGAGGAAAAGGAGGGAGGGAGAGGGCGGTGGTACAGTGCAGCACTGACAGAGCTTTGAGGGTAGTTATGCTGCCGATGCTCGTTGGGAGGGGGCCGGACAGGTCGTTGTGGCTCAGATCGCTGGGAATGAAGGCAGAGCGGATCGGGTTGGATGGAGTGGAACATTAGGTGAAACGAAAGGGATGATACAGAAAAAAAAAATATATAAATGGTGGACAGGAGCAGTGGGTATACACACATAGCAACATATGGTGGACGGGTGGGTAATCTGTTGTGACATACCATAACATAACATACCATACCCCCACCATACAGTTGTGACATGACATGATGGATATGAAGTAAGAAGACACTTCTTGTTTGGACTTGGCTGGCATGTCATAACAAAATACATGGCACTACAAGCCGTGGCATGACGTGTCAGTGCAACCTCACGGTTTGCACTTGGTTTGTTGACATTGTGTGTGCGCGTGTGTATACACTGTACATTGTGACTAGGCAAGCAAAACTCGCCTCGTCACGGTACAAACTTGTGCGAGTAATACCCCCAGCCAAGCAAAACTCGCTTGGGCCTAAAGGCAAACTCCTCACTCGCTTGTTTGGACGAGTTTTTGTAAAAGCTTGGCCCAGTGTCTAAAAAAGCTCGGCTGAGTGAGTGCGAGTATTTGACCCATTGCCCCATACCCGCACAGTGTGCCCTGCATGTATATGTCAAGCATTCAAATAAATCAAGCATATCCAGGTCTAGAGCCCTGGTGAGCAACAAAATGGGGTGGAACAACATACAGCAGCAGCAGTAAGCAAAGACAACATCCAAACATAGTTTTGCTGCCAAGATCCTCAATAAATAGATGGCCAGGCCGCCTTCAAGCACAGCCCCCTCAGCCATCCCTCACTCAACCTCACACATCATCATAAAGCTCGCAGAGCCAGAAGAACCCGCGCGAGTCTGCAAAAAACTCAACAAAAGGACGAGTACTCAGCGAGTTTTTTTTACTCCGCCAAGTTTTGCTCGGCTTGGCTAGGTCGAGTTTTTCGGACAAGAGCAAGACTCGTCACTTACTACGTGACGAGCTCTCCGGACGAGCCGAGGCGAGAAACTAGCCTCGTTGCCCATGTATACGCGTGTGTTTGCATGAAATAGTGTGAGAGCATGATATAATGTGTTCCATGATTATATCAATGTTTGAATGATGAATCGTGACGTAAAATGTGTGTGTTGAGTTGTCAGCATTGCTAGTCACGTATGAAGTCGCCGTTTGTGTTTCATGTGCATTTTATGTTTTGTTGTGTGTCTAACATTCGGCGTGTCACATGTGTGAGTGTGCAGCAAGTATTCAAGGACTCAAGGAGAATTTTATGGTGAATGTTCAAAGACTTGCGCTCAACTTTCAAGTGATTTTGAAGCTCATTAACAAGGGTAGACCTAAATATAGTGAAAATGGTAATATTGCATTGTATAGTGTCACATTTCTCCTGGTATCAGCCCTTGTGATAAGTATTCTCAAGACTCTTCATGGTTGGGGATCATGTGAGAATCATTACTACCTCCAACTTCTTCCTAAATTGTATCCTGAGACAATAGTTGCTCTAATATAGACATTGGATCAAACTAGTATTGCGTCGTCAATTCATTATCGGATAGAAACCGCTCATTCGGTGTTGTGATCAGTCAATTGTCAGGTTTTGAAACCGCTATGCAGAGAGATGTTTGTGCACTCTAACTTTTGTTTGAATAACGTTGAAGCCTACTGTGATCATAACATGACTTATAGCATAGGGCATGACACGGCATTAGGTATTGCATGGTATGTCAAGGCAAAATCAAGAGGACGTGTGTGTGTGAAGAGGAGTAGCACCGAATAGACTCACAGGTTTGTGATGGCATCCAAGGCTGTGACCCCTGTAGGCACAGTCCCTGATAGTTGGTTGTAGCTCAAGTCCCTGCCATGCAAGGGATAAGGGAAAGGTCAAAAGGCAAGGGGTGGGACAGAGGGGGTGGAAGAAATTACGATGGGAAGATCAAGTGCAGGAAGCAGGAGGGAAAGACTTTACAGCAAAGCATGGGATGCACACCAGCCTGCAGATGTGCATGAGTGCACACGTACATGTGGGATGGGGGTATACACATGCACGCACATGGGGTTATGCACACGAGCATTTGGAAATAGGCACATGAACATTTCAACTACATCTGAATGTGTAGGAGTTTACAACACAAGTGTAGTACAGTGGTGATGGGGGAGGCACATGCGCAAGTGCATGCAGTTATGCTTGTGCATTTCTGTGCTTTGCAGAATAGGACACCATGGCACGACATGGCAGAAGTATGCTTCCTCGTACAGCCTTTGCAACGCAGATTTTCTGCGCACACAAATCATACAGCTCCACTTGCTTGCTTGGTTCTTGATAGTTGGTTTGAGAGAACAAGTGTACGTGGGATGCAAGCAAGTTGTGCGTGTGATGCTTACAGTTTCTGCATGTTGCCATTCCACGCAATAAGTTCTGGTGGGACGGAACCCGTGAAAACATTGTTGGACAGAGATCTGGAAGAGGAAGCACATAGAGAGGGGAAGAACAATGCAGAGACAAATCAGAGAGAAGGTGCAACGGAACGAGGGAGAGCAGGTTGACAGATGGCATACAAGAAGAGGCAAAATGCATGGAAACATGCTCGCTTGCTGCAAAGAGAATTAGATTGTGCAAGATAACACGAGAAGGCCATTTAGTGCCTTTCACCATAGGGAAACATGACAGGGATGGTGCTGCTTGAAGTCCGGTAAAGGGAGAGAATGTGAGTGCAGCGAAGGGAGTGCAGTGAGGGGAGAGCATACAGCTCCTCGAGATGCATGAAGCTGGATGGAACGAGCGTGCCCGACAGACGGTTGAAGCTCAGGTTTCTGTGAGGGGAGAGAGAGAGACAGAGAAAGAGAGTGAGTGGAGAGGCTGGTGAGGGGGTGTGTGTGCACGAAAGGTAGGAGGGGGTACTCGTGGAACCTGGGAGAGGCAGTGGAGAGGGACGGAGGAAGATGTATCGGTCTGAACCCATGAGGGCATGAGAGGAGCACATGGATAACCACGAACAGGTAGAAAGGTCACAAGACTAGTGAAGGATAGTGGGCTAACAGGTTGGTGAGTTTGACCAGAAGGGAGAGGGAGGAAGGCATGGATCCCGACAGTTGGTTGTGACTCAGGTCCCTGTGGCACAGCAGGCATGGTATGGCGTGGTTTTTGTGGTGAGGTGCGGTGTGGAGTGGCATTGCATGGCACGGTATTGTAGCAGGCAGTCATGTTAGTATGAAAGGGAGTAGAAGAGAAAAATCAAATGAGCAAACAGACGAGGAGAAGGTGCTTGTGAATCGACTGCAAGTCAAGATGAAGGGAAGTCACTTGACTGTAAGTACTGCATTCCCACACACACATACTCCAATCAGCCATCTCAGCGACCATGTGGCTCTGCGTGAACACGTTATTAGCTTCAGTCACTCAATCAGTATTCAAAGATGAACCAAAGGAGAATCCGAGGAACTAAAAAGAGGTCCACACACTCACAGGTGGGGAGTGTTGGTTAGCGCAGCAATAAGCGGCTCTGGGATTGACCCCGAGAGAAGGTTGGATGACAGGCTCCTGAATGGGGGAATGGGGTGTAATGCAGTCAGAACGATGCGCGTGGAATGGAGATGCAATAATATGTTGTGAGTGAGATAAGTCGAAACGCAGAGTGATTGAGTGACTGGGATGTGGTGGAGCAAGATGTGACGTTATGGGATAGGATGGAGCCCGACACAAGGCGCCACACATGCTACCTCGTACCACACTGACGGTGTGGAGAGTTGTTGACAGGGCGCGACACACTCCACTCCGTGGTACTGACAGGGTGGAGAGCTGGGAGAGGCGGCTGTAGCCCAAAGGCAGCGATCCCGAGAAAATGTTGCTGCTGAGGTCGCTGGGGATGGGGGAAGACGGGAAAGAGAGGAGAAGGGGGATAGGAGTGAGAGGCGGGAGATTGGGGAGAAGGGGGAGAGGGGGGAGGGGAGAGATGGGGAGAGGGATGACAGAGGGAAGAGGGGGGGGAGAGGAGGGATGGGGGGGAGAGGGGGGAGGGTGGGGAGAGGGGGGATGGGGGGAGAGAGGGAAGATGGTGGGTAGAGGGGGGATGGGGGGGAGAGGGGGGAGGGTGGGGAGAGGGAAGATGGGGGGAAGAGTGGGGAGGAGAGGGAGAGAAGGGAGAAGGGGGAGAACAGGGAACGAGGAGCGAAGGAGGAGAGCGGCCGATAAAAGATGGAAGAGGGAAGGAAGGAGAAGGGAGAGAGCAGAGGAGAGAGGGAGGAAAGAGGAGAGATGGGGAAGAGTCTTTTTGTGAGTCGGTTATGGGTATTGTACGAATGAGGTGGAGTGGAATGGATTGATTGGGTAGTAAAGCTCAAAGCTCCTTTGGTTCAACAAGAATGAGTGGGAAATCAGGGATAATTAAAATGGGAATGGCTGAAATCTGCGATGAGTGAGTCGGAATTGTCCAGTGATCACACGTGGATGAGGTACAGATTGAGTCTAATATCCGAACCATGGAAACTACATTTACACTAAACTTGGATGAAGACTAGAATAATATAAAATGTGAGTTTGTGGTCTATCTCTACTGTGGAGTTGTAGCAGAGGGGGACTCCATTGAGAGGGAGACTGATGGGTTGGAAGGAGACTGACAGGTGGGAGAGAGAAGTGGCGAGACTTAGGATTGTCGGCAGTGGCCCAGAGATCTGGTTGGAACTCAGATCCCTGCACGAGAGAACAATATCAGCCAGCAATATTTGCCAATGCACCTGAGACTTTCTCGACTGTTGCAGAACAACATCACCAACATACTAAATATATACACTAATCTATGCAATATCAACTCTATGAGGCGAGTAATCGCATGCCTCGTATCTTTTTACTCACAACGGGTGACTAACAAAGCCTTGTCTTGGCCAAACTAATTTTGCCCGAGGGAAGGCGAGTTTCAATGGACGAGTACAAAGATTAGGGTCGAGCAAACCAAGCTCTCGTTTCATCAATTGCATCTCTCAACCTTGTGTTTCATTCCATTCTGCACCAGTCAACCACTCAATACCTGGCAGAAGGGGGAGACCACATGGTACACTTCCGACACATGCCAATGCTTTATAAAATCTCCTCAAAACCTGGTTCTCAGTGCTCGTTGAAACTATTTTGACAAGAAAACAGACTGGCCATTGGCTTGACGAGCCGAAATTCCAAAATCGATGGGCCAAGCCGTGTTGGGCTCAGCCAAGCCAAGTCAAGTCACCGAGCCGTCGGCTCAGACTCGTGCATGCACTCGCTGGCATGCATGCCTACATGCCTTTCATACTCTGCTCGCACTCGCCAGTAGCAGTGGCAGCAGTGATGCCAATGCCAACGGTGGCTGCTGCGGAGGGTGTGGTGCTGTAAGTTAGCTCAGGCACCGGCTTTGAGGTGTCAGGAAGGTGCCCTCCGAAGCATGGAGCTTTATGCGTGCATGCACTTGAGTCAATGTTAGGGTGCTGATAGTCAATTTTAGAGTGCTGACCTTTGAGCTCCTCGTTTCAGAGTGAGGGCCAGTCATCAAGGTAGAGCAGAAAATGTGGGCGTGAGGGTGGTACTGGATTGCTTACAGTGACTGGAGCAGTGGGAGTTCGACTAGGAATTGGGGAATGGAGTCAGAAAACAAGTTGCCACTGAGATCACTGCGATGATGGTGACAGATGGGCAGGAGGCAGAGAGGGAGAGGGGGAGAGAGAGACATATGACGACAGGAAGAGGGAGATACATCGAGAAAAGAATCGCACTCAAGTCTTTGAGATCTGAAGCAGAACACACGTGATGGAAGACAGACAACAATGAGGAAAGATGTCTGGAGAGTATGCGGCTGGGAGAGCACAAGCCAGGAAAAGACCTGCAGGAGACCTAGGTGGCAAGTGCAAGCAAACAAGTGTGGAGGGGCTTTGGTACAAAGAACGGGGGGAAGGTTGAAGGAAGGTTGCTGGAGCAAGGCTGGCTGATTGAAGATGAGGAAAATGATTTGCGGCCAACTCATATCCTGGCCTTGCAACGCAGGCAATGAGAAGGCTCAACACTGGCTGTGCAACGCAAAGCATTTTCTGACTCCATAAAAATCAACCTGACTGACAGTAAGGCATTACAGCAATGGCAGAAGAAGGCGTTACAGCCAGATCAGAGCAGGGCCTTACAGTTTCTTGAGGTTAACAAGTCTGGACAGGAAGGTGGGAGGGGTGTTGGTCAATCCGCTCTTTGACAGGTCACTGCCAGCACACGAAAAAAGAATAGGGTGGTGGGTAGGGGAGATATGGGAAATAAAAGAAGATTTTGAAGGAGGAATGGAAAGTGGATGGATGGTGAGAAGGCCCACTCACAGCATGCATACTGACAGACAGCAGCATGCTGAACAGTTAGGGAAGGCGAGGATTCCTGCCATGCTGCCCAACGACGTGGCATGCAGCCCAGTGGTGTGCGGACTGATGGCGCACGGTCCAGTGGGGTTCAGTGTTAAGGTGAGAGGTATTGTAGCAATAACAGAAGGTGTGCTCACAGAGAGGTGAGGGATGTGATAGCTGACATCGGACCCATGAAGGCTTCGGAAATGCTATTGCCACCCAAGTATCTGTTTAGTGGAGGGGGCGTAGGCAGAGAGGAAAGGTGCAGCGAAGATGCATGAACTGTCAATATATCATGACATAAGTAGCAAATATGAAAGTAACTAGTGTAACGAGCCACAGAGCTGCGTGAATGAGCATGGTGAAAAATGTGCAGCCACTATACAAAGAGCATGGAGAGGGACGGTGAAGAAGGGGAAGGGAAAGGGCCAGCACTAACAGTTCCTGAAGGTTAGCCAAGCTCCCCAAACTTGGTAGTGGCCCTGTTATATCATTGTTACTCAGGTCCCTGCCATGTCATGCCATGCCACGCCATGCCATGCCATTCCATGCCATAGCCACGCCATGCCATGCCATTCCACGCCATGCCAAGGCATGCCACGCCATGCCTCACAAGGCCAGAAGATGATATGCATGCCATGTCAGACAATGTGATTCGATGTGAAGCCATGATGATGAGTATGAAGCTGGTCATGCCCTTGGCACTCACAGCAGACACTCGAAGCATGGAGAGAAACAGGAAGGGCTGCAATGATACAGCATGATGGGCAGATGAGGGATGCATGGTGATAGGGATGTATTGTGAGAGCGATTGGTTGTGAGAGCGATCCATAGTGAACTGTATTTCAGGGACATAATGCATGAAGCAAGTGCGGAAGAGGCGAGGGAGGCGCTCACAGAAGTGTGAGGAGGTTGAGAGTTGTAATTTCTGTAGGAAGAACGCCTTTGATCCCACACCCGGCCGCACGACTGAAGCAAGAGGCAAGTGAAGGGGGAGTGAGGTGGAAGTACATGAAATTGGACGCGGTAGACAACTTTCAAGGGTGGAAGATGGTGGGGTGTAGAACAAGCGTGTGGCAAAAGATAGCAGCTGATTGGGCAGATCATGGACAAAGCCGGATACATTAGAGGAGAAAGTCTGGTCATTGCTGCCGGGCTCTTAAATATACCTTTGAGATGCCTAATGACTACAAGAAGTGCATAGTTATGGATTCTTGATTATAAATCAAGACAGCAACTTCTCCATCCATGACAGAAGAGAAAGTGCATGCAAGCATTGTACAAGACTTAAAGCTCACTGGTTTTCTGGTGCAAGGATGCTGGTGAAGGTGCTGACTAGGCATGAGCATGAGAGCGAACACCTGTTCGGCTCGCCTGGAACATGTTTGAGTCGAACCAAACAGGGTGTTTTTTGGTCATGTTTGGTTCGCCGAACATGAGTGTCCGAGTCCGGGCAAGCAGGAACATGGTCTTGTTCGTCCTTTGCTCATGTCTAGTGCTGGTGGTGCTGGCACGAGTGCTGGAGTGCAATGCAAGCTGAACTAAGATATGTCACCGAGTGCTTTGGTTAACTTACAGCGATTGCAAGAATATATTGTTGTTTTTTATTACTCCCGAAAGGGTTCCTGAGAAAGGGTTGTTAGAAATGTCCCTGGAAGGAGGTCATGATAGAGACAAGGAAACAGAAGGGCGGGAGAACGATGCAGAGATTCGGCTCAAAACATCAAAAGGGACAGCATAGAGCTGCTCCACAGCGCACTGGGACAACAATGAGCGACTGTTCTAGAGACTCGCAAGCCCCACGCACTTGGCAGCTTCATACATAAACTGAGACCAGCTCACGATTGTAACATCCCCTGCAACATCTACTTCCCCCCTCCCCCTCTCCCCTCCTTCGCACTTCCCAGCTTAAGCCAGCAAGCAGTGAGAGTGATACTTGAGTGGAGGAAAAGGAAGGGCAGATGCAAAAAAAACATCGGCATGAGTGGATGTGTGAACCGAGTTTGACCCAGCGAACCGGCAAGGTTTGACATTTGCGGTGCTGCCCAATGTTGAAACAGCCTAGTTCACTTCAAGCCCCGACCCCAATGTCAAGATATACTCTGCGTGGCCTGCCCATTACCCTCGTGACCAATTTCGTGAGGGTCCTTTTAGGTCGCTGTAGCAAAAGCTCGAGCTCATTTTTTTAGTTCCAGTCCAGCCCCCCTTTTTCCAACCAGCATACTCCCTAGCGCTAACGCTAACACCCACCCACCTACCAGCCATGTTCTCCACAGTTCATTTTGACTAGCTAGTGCAGCGCACCTGTTTACAGTGCCTCTCACTGGTTTTTCATTTTTAACGGACTAGGCTCTTTCAGGCGACTTAACAGAAGCAATCACTTTTTCTTTAGGTTTAACCGATGCGGGCAGGATGCAAAAAGAACGGCAGCATTTATGAAAAAATTACCATATCAAGATGGCATCGTATAAAACAGTCGTATACAATGGTTTAATACAGTTCCAGGAGGTGTTTTTCGTTTGATTTGATAATGGCCATTCTAATGGTCCTTATTTGTCAAACCAGAAGGGGCACCAACCCATGGGGCCAAACTTAAGAGAGTGAGGATCAGGAAGAGAGGCGCAGGAAAAATTAATCAAGTTGAAGAGCCATTTGCTGCATGTCTGCCCTTGTGGCCAAAGATATATTCCGACATTTTTGTTGAGGGGGGTGAAGGGGGTGGGGGGGGGGGTGGGGTGGGGGGGGGGAGTAGTGGGGGGGGTGGGGGGGACCAAATTTCTCTAAGTTGCGTATTATTACAAGCAGGTTCTTGAACTTTGTCTACGGGTTCCGTTGGTCTTGGTGCTTAAGCATGGCGGCAGACCAGGATATACTGATGGAGGACGAAGTAGTGGTGGGTATCTCCCAGCCAGCCTTGTCGGAGCAGTTCAGGGTAACTTCCATTACAAGGGGACTTCATGTGCTCAGTTCAGTGTGGTAGTGGCCCTTCCCCAGGTTATTC